GGGCGCGAAGTCCACCCTTGCGCGGCGTCGCGCGCGTGCCGCAATTTTGTAGAATTGCAGGCGCCGCGCGGGTTCCAATATTCAGGTTGCTGAGCGCGCGTCTATTACAGCGGTTTTTGAACCTGGTGGTTCCAGATTTTCTCTGCTGGCGCCCCAGCGCATTCCAGCGCAGCTCTCGCCCGCGAGTGTCGGAATCATTCGAGCGCGCGAGCGCGCTTGCTGGCGGGGGCGGGGGGGGGGGGCGGGCCGACCCCCGCCGGACGCTACCGCGCGGGCCACTGACGTCCGTCGGCCGCGCGCGCGTTGAAATCCCCCGAATCATTCGTCGCCGACGCGCGGGCGACGCCGACGTCGTCGGCGCGATCAGCATCCGCGCTGCCATTGGCCTCGCCGTCGCGATTGCCATTTTCGCCACCATCGCTCCCGATGTCCTCTCGTCAGCCGTCGACGACGTGCCCGCCCGCGCCGCCGTCTCGCGCCGGCATTCCCGCGCGTCGGCGCGGCTTGCGAGACGCGCCAGAAAGTCCCCGGCGCCCAGCTCCGCCGCGCCCGCGCCAGGTCGCGCCAGACTAAATGGCCGCTTTCCGCGAGCCTGCGCGCGCCGGCGCGGCCGAAGCGACGCGCCGGGCAGCGCCGGGCAGTCATCGCAACGCCCCCGCGTGGGTTTTGCAGACCAAGTTGCCGGTGGGTGCGCAGGGTGATTGCTCGAGAAGAGAAATCTGCCACTCGCGGTGAACGACGTTTCATTGCGCCGCGTAGGTTGCGCCGCATATATTGGGCGACATAGTCTTCGCGGCGCGCGTTGCGCCGCGCATTTTCTCCGCGCAAACTACGAGGCTCGGATCTGCCCACCGCCCCGCGCGCGCGCCTCCGGAGTTAACGGGCCACCTTCGCGTTTTGTTATCGCGCGTGATTATGCGCGCTCGCCCGTCCTAAATGCGCATTCATGCCGCCCCAGGCAGTCGGGTCATCGACCCCCCCCTCTTGCCCTGTCAGATAGTTCTAATCAGGTCCCAACCTTCACCGCCGAAGCGTGGACACCCTAGTCGGGGGGATCAGCGTCGGCGCCGTCGATGCCCTTGCCGGCGTCATTGTCATCGTCGCCACTGGCGCTTATCCTGATGTCACCATCGAGCCCGCCGTTGTCGACGTCGCCGCGATGCCGCGCCCGCCTGAGTCAAGGACTCGCAATGCTGCGCCCGCGCGTCGGCGCGGCCTGCGAGACGCGCTGGGCAGCCCCCGGCGGTCAGCGCCGCCGCGGTCGCATCGGTCGCGCCAGACTAGCCGGCCGCTCTGCGCGCGAGCCTGCGCGCGCTAGCGCGGCCGCAGCGACGCGCCGGCTGACGTCGAGCAGTCGTCGCAGTCGCCCCTGCGCGGGTTTCGCAGACCCAGTTGCGGGCGGGTGGACGGGGTGGTTGCGCGAGCGGTGGAGTTGGCAATTCATTGCCAGCAATGACTTTCTCCTCGCCAAATGAGTGACAGATCCCCCCCTCCCCCCCGCCTGCCTTGGAATTGACGATCATTTTTTACGCATTGCAATGCGCGTGCGCGTCTGCCCCATCGCCCATCTTAAATCTGAATTCACGCCGCCCCATCCCAGCCAGCATCGACGCCCCCGCCATCCTGGGTAACGGGTATTACGCGCGCGCTCTCATTTATCAGCAATCATCAGTTCTGCGGGTTCAAAGATATCCCTTGCCGCGCGTGGGGCGAACTGCGCGCGCCCGCGTCGTCGCTCGCGCGTGCCGAAATTATTGAAAACTTAGGTCTCGAGAAAAATCAAAGTAGAGCGTCGCGGAAACATATCAAGCGCATGCAATTGGGCAACGAGTGGTCGGGCCAACAAATATTGCGCCCGCGGGTTCTTCAGGCAATCATTTTTTATGTATTTCTTTTTTTCTTTTCCCCGAACATGTTCATGACGTGTTTCCAAGTTGGCCTCCCGTGCGCGCGCGTGGAAGTCGCGCGAGCGCCCTTGCTCGCGGGCTGCAGCAATCATCCTTTGCAAAAGACGGGGCGACATGCACGCGCGCGCGTCGCCGCGCGCGCGCCGAAATCCTTGGAACAACACTGGGTGTAGCAGGGGTGTCACAACCGAGAGCCCCGAAACATACATGCTATTGCGCGGTTTTGCAACGCCAGCTTTCAAGAAATATTGCGCTCGCGCCCGTGCGGGTTCTTAAGACAACCATCGGGTTGCCAACATTTTCATCGCATTCTGCCAAGCGGGCCTCTCTCGCCGCATGTCGGATTTGTTTGGGCGCCCTTGCGCGCGTTTTTTTTTGGGGGAGGGCTTGATCTGTGCCAAAAAACACTACGCGGGACCATCGCGCGCATCGGCCGCGCGCTCATGTCGAAATCGATCAAAACCTTCATCGCCGACGCAGGGACGTCGTCATCGTTGCCGGCGGGCGTCATGTACATCGGCGCCGTCATTGGCCTTGCCGTCGTCATCGCCACCTTCGTCACCGTCGCTACTTTCGTAGTCGTGTCTACCGTTGTCGGCGTCGACATGATACTGCGCCCGCCCAAGTTACCGACTCGCACTGAAGTGCCCGCTGGGATCTGCCCAACGGTCAGCGCCGCCGCGGCCGCGTCGGTCGCGCCAAACTAGCTGGCCGCCGCGCGCGCGAGCCAGCGCGCGCTAGCGCGGCCGCAGAGATGCACCAGCCAACGCCAAGCACTCATCGCAATCGCCGCCGAATTGGTTTTGGAAACCAAGTTCCGGGTGGGCGGGTGGGATGTTCGCAAGAGCATTGAATTTGCCAGCCCGATTGTAAAGCCACGTACATTGCACAACATGTGTTTAGCAACATGTCTCGTGCTACACACTTATATATATATAGAGAGAGAGATCGCGCCACAGCGATTCGTATTTCTACACAGGAAGTATCGGTACCATGTCTAGGTGTGTAACATTTACGTATGATTTTGCCCTGCCGTGCATTCTAACAATGAATTCATTACGCCCCAAGCAAGCCGGTATCGACACCCCTCCTATGCGCGCACACCTGTTTATCAAAAACCACGCATGCGCAATAACCTTTTGGACAAAAAGCAAACAATGGCGAGCGCATGCCGAAATCACTTCAACACCCAAATGGTTCCCTAATGCTTTGGCAAATGAGTGCCCCGAGAGCATGTAACACAAATGGTTGTGCAACGCGACGTTACCAAAAAAGGTTTGCTCGCACGCCCATGCGAATTCTTGAGGACAGCGGCGGCTTATCGATATTTTCATCAAGTGCTGCCAAAAATGCCTCTCGCGCGTGCGTGTCGACATAATTCGAGTGCTCTTGCGCGCGTGCTGGGGGGGCACGACTCTTGTCAAATCTTACCATGCGAATCACTCGCGCGCGTCGGCCGCGCGCTCATGTCGAAATCCGTCAAAACCTTCTCACCGACGCGTGGATACCATGATCGGCATCGGCGTGATCAGCATCGGCGCCGTCATTGGCCTTGCCATCGTCATTGTCATCGTCGTTGCCAGCATCGATACTATCATGATCGTGTGTGCCGTTGCCTACGCCGCCATGATACCTTGCGTGCCCGAACTACCGAGTCGCAATGAAGTGCCCGCGCGACCGCCCGGCTTGCGAGACGCGTTGGGGAGTCCCCGACGGTCAGCGCCACCGCGGCCGCGTCGGTCGCGCCGGACTAGGTGGCCGGTTCGCGCGCGAGCGTGCGTTCGCTGGCGCGGCCCCAGCGATGCGCCAGCCAACGGCAAGCAGTCATCGTAGTCGACCGTGCATGTTGCAAACCAAGATGCGGGTGGGCGGCTGGGATGGTTGCGCGAGCAGTGCAGTTGACAATTTCAAATGCGACAGGGTGAATTGCACCACGTGTAAAGTACAGCGCGGTTGCACCACATCATCTGCACCGCGTAGGTTGTACTTATCACATCGCTTGCACAACATGTATATATATATATCATCGTACATGGCACAGTGTATAGTGCACCACGTATATGGCATCGTATCGATTGCGCCACATCGTTTGTGTAACATGTGCTGCACAACTTAGATTGCGCAGCACACGCACACGTATACATACGTACAGGCATACAGGCATACATACATACGTACATACTCACGTACGTTCAGAATCCATACATGCACACGTGTATACACATACCTACGTATGGATCATCGTACATACATGCATATATATATGTATATATATATATATATACATACGTATGTACGTATACATATGTGTGTACACATATACACAGCTATGAACACATTGCATCACGCGTCTTGCACCACATGTTTCGCCCCATTTCTTACTGCAAGGGGTAGTCAGCTATAGACACAGTTTGGGGTCCACGCTAATCCACATTGACATGTTTCTTTCCATCAAAGCGTTTTCGGGCCTTAACAAAATGTGCTGTTGCTGGCTGGAACTCAGGAGTTCCATCTAGTCTCCGTCTAACGAAACTTTGCTCTCGCCGCATCGTTGGCCGGATTCTTGCATCGGCAAAATTGGTTGTTTTTTCGGAGAGTTTGCCACGCTTCAGATTTTCCATTGTTTTCCGTCCAATGGGACGACGTTCTCGGCGCGACGATGGCCATAGTCTCGCATCAGCACAAGTGGTGCTCCCGCTGTTCCGTCTGCCACACTTCATGGCAAAATGGCCCTTTTGAGGTCCATGTCTTCTTCGACGGTCGACTCTGCGAATAGAGTGGACTCAACTCCATGGTAGGTAAATTGGAGTTGGGGGGCGTCAGATATTTCGCGAGCGCACCAACCTTGTCTCTCCACCTGTCTCTATTCTCTCATGCTCCTCCTCCTCCTCTATTCTCCCCTCCCCCGCCTCCCTCCCCCTTCTCCTCTCCTCCCCCCGCCCGCTCCTCCTGCTCCTCCTCTTTCCCCTCCCCACCCCTCTTTCTCCTCCTCCTCCTTTTCGTCCTCTTCCTCGTCTCTACTCCCCCTTGGGTGGCTCCTCCCTCCCCCCCTCTTCCGCGGAGGAGCGGGAGGCGGGGCTTGCCCTCTTGCAGGCCATATGCATGGTCGTGGTCATCCTGACCATGAGCTCCGGTCTGGTGGGGCGCGACAACTCGGCCAGGAGATTTTCAGTCTCGCGATCTGGCCAGTACCGCGTGGAACGGGTGACCGACACCCTGGCAGCGGCCTCAGCAGATCCCGATCAGTCGGGCCTCGGCGATGCCCCCCCCCTGCACAGCAGCCTGGAGTCGTTTGATTCCCGATAGGCCTCCAAACGAGGAACAGCAAAACTATGAGCCCCGCGCGACCCCGATTAGAGGAGAGCTTCCTAAGTAGGTAAGTAAGCCAGGGAGCCATGGTTTGGTTTTGCTTTGCCTTGCTTGGCATTGCTTTGTGCTGTTTTGCACTGCTTGGTATCGCTTGGCGTTGCTTGGCCTTACTCGGCATGGCTTAGCATTGCTTGGCACTGCTTGGCACTGTGTGAACGCCTCTTCAAAAACATGCCGAATGGAAACAAGGCCAAGGAACCAGGGGGGCCACGGGGGAACCCGAGTCAGGTTGGCCTTTCAGGAGCAGCAAGGCGCCAAGACCAAGGACCCTGGAGAATCTGGGAAGCGCCAGCCGCCAACACGCAGCTCAGCAAACCAGAGGAACAGGGGCGCCCTCGAGGGCGCGAAGTCATTCGCGCTTCGCGCTTCGGCTCCGACTCCTCTTTGTTCTCCTCTTCTCTTTTCGGGGCGGCGCGGGAGAGCGCGAAGTTGCTCCGCGCTCCGCGCGGCGCGAGGCGCGAAGCTGGGCGCCCTTGGAGCCAGGACCAGAGCACCGAAGGAACCAGAGCCAAGGAGCCGAGACCGAGGATCCACGGGATCAAGACGAAGGAACCCAGAAGCTGTGTGTGAAATCCGCTCATAGCATCATTCTCTCCATATATACTGCAGGCGTCTCGGCTCGGGTACTGGAAGCAGGAACAGCGCCGCCTGCCCGCGGCGCGTGGGAAAAGGGATCGCTGCCCTCTCCCTTACCTTCCTCTACCTACGGCAATCCTTGTAGGTTCGACTCTTCGGTCGTCAACCTACATGCCAAGAAGCCAAGACCAAGGAACCAACACCGCGGAAACGAGACCGAGGAGCACCGTGGAACCAAGAGTGAGCCAGGAAGCCAAGACCCAGTCAGCCAGGGAAGCAAGAGCCCACGGGAACAAGAGACCGAGGAACGCTGGGGAACGCCCTCGTAAGGAAGCGGGGACAGGGAACCCTGGGGAACCCTTGCGCCATTGGGCCCCGCACCCACTGGCTCTTCAGCAACAGGTGAGCGACGCACAAGAAGTGGTTTCGTCTTCCCTGGCGTTGACGCGCAAGCTGCTCGCGTATAAGGTCGAGCGCAAGCGCCGCCTTCGTCTCCACGGCAGCGTGCCGCGCCAGCGGCCCGCGTGAGCCATCGCGGAAGGTGGCTATGCCATCTCGCGTGAGATCTGTTGTCGATCGTCGCGCAAGTAAGACACCGACGCAAAAACCCAGCTGGGGAATAGCCATCTCGCGCAAGATCCGTTGTCGATCGTCGCGCAAGTCAACGACCTCAGGCAAAGCCCAGCTTGGGAACAGCCACGAACTTGTGGAGGCCCGCGCGGCTTCCCTGGGGGTCGGCGCCGGGCTCCGCGCTGGCGGACCTCGTGGCGCCGCCCCTGGCGCGCCTTCCGCGCGCCAGGGGGGGGGGGTCCAGCCCCGACGGGGCCTCCGAACGGTGGTGCTGATGCCACTGCTGTTCTCTGCGGTGCCCGGCCTCTGGGGGGCCTCGCCGGGTCCCCTCCTGGGAAGGCGGGCGGGGGGCTCTTGGTCTATGATTTTCCGACCTACTTCGGCCTGGATCGCAAGCAAGGCTTTCGAGCACCAGGGACGCAACAACAAGGTTTAGGGCCTTTTCGTGTCGGGCCCTTCGCTGGCGTGTCGGGCAGACACTGCTTCGATACTTCTCTGGGTGCTCGACATGTTTTCTGGGATGTGGGCCTTACGCCTTAAGCACGATGGGGACAACGTAACTCTTGGAAGGCAGGTGCCTTCCAAGACGGGCCCAGCGCGGCTCCTCAGGAGGCCCCCCAGGAGCCAGGAGAGCGCCACCACTCCCGAGGGCGAGGAGGTTGAGGAATATCGAGCAGGATCGAGCATCGAGGATTGAGGATCCAGGATCGAGCAGGATCGAGGGTCGAGGATCGAGGATCGAGGACCTTCCAGGACGGGCCCGGCGGCTCCGCGGGAGGCTCCCCAGGAGCCAGGCCGAGGGCCTGCAGGGAGCCGGGGAGGCCGCCCCGCGCGCCACCACTCCCGAGGGCGAGGAGGTTGCGCAGGATCGAGCATCGAGGACCGAGCACCGAGCATCGAGCGTCGAGCATCGAGGATCGAGCATCGAGGATCGAGCCACCACTCCCGAGGGCGAGCGGGATCGAGTATCGAGGATCGAGCATCGAGCATCGAGGATCGAGGATCGAGGGTCGAGCTTTTGCTCTGGCGGCCTGTGGGGGCCGCCAGCGCGCGGCAGCGCGGAGGGCCGCCCGCTCCGGCTCGACTGCTCCCGCAGTCGCCACGCACCTCGTGGAGCTCTGCGCCCCAGCTCGCGCCGGTCGGAAACGCCGCTGCGGCGCCTTGCCACCGGCTGCCTGCTGCGCGCAGGGAGGAGAGGAAAGGAGGAGGAGGAGGAGGAGGAGGAGGAGGAGGAGGAGGAGGCGGAGGCGGAGGAGGAGGAGGAGGAGGAGGAGGAGGAGGAGGAGGCGGAGGAGGAGGAGGAGGAGGAGCGACCCCAAACTCCAAACGACTCCATGCCAACGCATCGGGGGCGGGGCAGCCCACCGATCTGTCCGGCCCGCTGGCCTGGCCCGGTCCGTCGGTCGGGCCCTCGCTCGCCGGGGCGCTCCGCTCCGTGGCGCGGATGCGGGGGGCAGCCAGCCCACCAGCGGGAGGAGGCCGTGGAGGTCCCCCCCAGCGCATGCCCGCGTCAGGCCAGACACCGCGGCGGAGGGTTTCTGCCAGTGTTCCGCCTGCGGGGCCCTCGACATATGGGCCCCGGGGCCGTCCGAAAAGGGCTCGCCCCGAGGAGCTGGCCCCGGGGAAGGGGTCGGGACCTCTGGGGGGCCGTGGGGGAAAAATCCGGACATCGCATGTCTGGGTCTGGGAGTCTGGGGGCTTCCAGGACGTGACCTACTTCGTCACGGACGCCTGGGAGGAGCTCCACCCGGACGGCACGGCCGCGCAGGCCGAGTTCGAGAACCTCGTGTTGGTGAACCACATCAGGAGCCCCTGGTGCGCTGATCGCCCCACACGCGGCCGCTGTCGCTGCAACCGCTCGCCACCAGGAAGTTGGATACACACGAGCGACGCAGAAGAACGGGGTCGTCTCCAGCGCGTGTCTCCAAGTGCGAGTCCAGCCATGTGAGGCGTTCCAGAAAGGGCCTTGCCTTCGAGGATCGAAGGACCCAGACATCATCGCGTCGTTAGAAGATCAGGACGACGGTTTTTCGCTATTTTCGGCCCGTGGGGGCCCTCGCTGGGCCCCGGGGACTTCAAATTATCCCGGCAAAGCAACCTAACAGCGATGTGTAGAAGCATATCTGAAAGCATTCCCCTTAAGATTCAGATGAAAATCCAGTTGAAGAATTCTGCTGTTCTCGCAGTCGTAGTCGCATTCGCGATGGCAGTCGCAGCGGCAACGGCAGTCGCAGTCACAGCCTCAGCCTCAGCCTGCCTCAGCCTCAGCCTCAGCCTGCCTCAGCCTCAGCCTGCCTCAGCCTCAGCCTCAGCCTGCTTCAGCCTCAGCCTCAGTCTGCCTTCAGCCTCGGCCTCAGCCTCAGCCTGCCTCAGCCTCAGCCTGCATCAGCCTCAGCCTCAGCCTCAGCCTGCCTCAGCATCAGCCTGCCTCAGCCTCAGCCTCAGCCTGCCTCAGCCTCAGCCTCAGTCTGCTTCAGCCTCAGCCTCAGTCTGCCTTCAGCCTCGGCCTCAGCCTCAGCCTGCCTCAGCCTCAGCCTGCCTCGGCCGCAGCATCAGCCTGCCTCAGCATTCAAAATGTGGCCCAGGAATGGAGTTCTGGGAACTAGAAGAACACGAAGTGGCCTACAGTTGGCTCCGGGCATTCAAAATCTTGCCCAGGAATGGAGTTCTGGGAACTTGAAGAGCACGAAGTGGCCTACAGTTGGCTCCGGGCATCCAAAATGTGGCCCGGGAATGGAGTTCTGGGAAGTGGAAGAGCACGAAGTGGCCTACAGTTGGCTCCGGGCATCCAAAATGTGGCCCGGGAATGGAGTTCTGGGAAGTCGAAGAGCACGAAGTGGCTTACAGTTGGCTCTGGGTATCCAAAATGTGGCCCGGGAATGGAGTTCTGGGAGCACCAAGAGCGATTTTGCGAGGATGTCCCAAGCGATTTCGGCTTCGGCGGCAGCCTCCCCGGGTCCCGCCCAGACCCCCCTGTGGAGTCCAGATGCTCTCTTTTGAGACCACTAGAAACCTATGAGCAAAAGCTGTTAGGTAAAAACGATTCAGGATGACAAATAGGTCCTGGGGAAAGGGTCGGGACTTCTGGGGACGTCGTCCTGAAAAATCAGGACGTCGCACGTCTGGGTTCGAGGATCGACGGAGTTGTCATCTCTTCCTCGGCGGAAAGCGGCGGAAGGGCGGCGGAATGTCGGTGGAAGTAAAACGAGGCAGCCTCCGCCGGCGGAAGCTGGCGGAAGGTGGCGGAAGTAAAACATGGTTTCAAGAGATGACAACATTTTTGGGTTCATGGTTTCCGGAATCCGTCGAGTTTTCGGCGGAGAGCGAGGGGGATACACAATGACACACCAGGTTGATTATGCTGCTTGTGTTGCTGCTCCTATCCCTCCTCCTGCAAGTTTCTCTCGTGCTCCATTATTCTCCCTACCCCTTATCTCTTCACTCTTCTCCCCTTTCCCCTGTTTTAGGAGTTGCGCCAACTACACGCGGCAGGTAGGGCAGATGTACCCCCAAGTGGGGGCACGATTGAAGACGAAGAGTGCGGGTACCAAGGGTTTGGGATATACGTGTTGAGTGGCACGCGGGCAGGTAAGTGCGAATAGTCTTAAACTGATGTGTGTAGCTGTAGCTGTTGTTGTTGTCGTTGCTGTTGTTGTTGTTGTTGTTGTTGTTGTTGTTGTTGTTGTCGTTGTCGTTGTCGTTGTCGTTGTCGTTGTCGTTGTCGTTGTCGTTGTCGTTGTCGTCGTCATCATCGTCGTCGTCGTTGTTGTTGTTTTTGAATTCTTCTAAAGAATAAATGTTGTTGATCCCCCTGCCCAGTAAACAGTGCATGTTTCAATTAAAATGTTTCTCCCGGTGCTCGCACCCTGATTTTTTTGGCAAGGGCAAGCGAGGTGCCACCAAACTGCGCCCTCGGCCCTCGAACTACAACAGCAATAACAACAACCACAATAACAACAACAACCATTTTAAGACTGTTCGCTCCTATCTGCCCACGTACCAATCAAAACGTATCTCCCAAACCCTCGGTACCCGCCCTCGTCGTCTTCGATCGTACCCCCTTTGGAGTATATATTCCTTACCTGCCACGTGCGTGTAGTGGAGCCCCTAAAACAAGAGAAAAGAAGACGGGTGGAAGGGGGAGGGAGAAGAATGGAGCACGAGAGAGAATAGCAGGAGGGGGGCAAGGAACAGAAAGCAAGTGGTAGAACCAGACGGGCAGACCGGGTTGGCAGACCCATAGCGGGCAGGTCGGGGAGGCGGGCCCAGGTGACCAGGTCGAGCAGGCGGGTTGCTGAAGCGTGGGTCCTGCATGAATCGCGAGGAAGTCTTGAGCGATAGCGCGATTCCCAAATAAATCGTGAGAAAAGCCCGAGCGAGAGCGTGATTCCTGAGCGCAGAGGGCGCATCGTCTGAATAAACTGCGAGGAAGTCCCACGTGAGAGCGCGATTCGTATACAAATTGTGAGGAAGTCCCGCTCGAGAGCTCAATTTGGGAATCAAGTGTGAGGAAGTATCAGGCCGGAGCCGTTGTTGTTGTGAACCGGGGGCCAACAACATAGTTTGAGCCCCGTGAATTTCCGTGATCAAGAATCAGGGTGCGAGCCCCGGGGGAAGCATTTTAATTGAAAAAGTACAAAGGTCACCGGAGGGGGGATCAACAAGATTCATTCTTCAGAAGTGAGAGTTCAACAACGGCCTCAGCCTGATACTTCCTCGCAATTAATTCCCAAATCGCGCTTTCGCGCGGGACGTCCTCACAATTTATAAAGGAGTCGTGTTCTCGCGTGGGATTTCCTTGCAATGTATTCAGACGCCGCGCCCTCGCTCTCGCTGTGGATTTCCACGATTTATTTGAGAATCGCGCTTTCGCTGGAGACATCCTCGCATTTCATGCAGTAGTTGCGCTTCAGCAGCCCGCCTGCTCGACCTGGCCGCTCGGACCCGCCTTCCCGACCCGCCTGTTATGGTCTACCCGCCCATCTGCCCGTCTGGTTCTGCCACGTGTTTTCTGCTCCTAGCCCCCCTCCTGCTAATTCTCTCTCGTACTCCATCCTCCTGCCTCCCGCTCGTCCCTTCCTTCCATCCGTCCTCTCTTCTCTCGCCTTAGGGGCTGCACGAAATAATCGTTGCAGGTAAGACAGATGTATACCCCCAAGGGGGGGGCTACGATCGAAGATGAAAAGGGCGGGTATCGAGGGTTCGGGGTATACGTGTTGAGTGGCCCGCGAGCAGATAAGAGCGAACAGTCTTAAATTGTTTGTTGTTGTCGTCGTCGTCGTTGTCGTTGTCGTTGTCGTTGTGGTTGTTGTGGTTGTTGTGGTTGTTGTGGTTGTTGTGGTTGTGGTTGTGGTTGTGGTTGTGGTTGTGATTGTGGTTGTGGTTGTGGTTGTGGTTGTGGTTGTGGTTGTGGTTGTGGTTGTGGTTGTGGTTGCTGTTGTTGTTGAACATTATTACTTCTAAAGAATAATTATTGTTGGGACCCCTGGTGCACGACCCCCCCGCCGCGCCTAGGCCGCAGCCTCATTTTCATCATTTTCGTGAGGAAGTCTCAGGCAAAACGGGGGAGTCCGGATCCGGTTGTGTTGTTACGATCGGTTTTCCCTTGCAAAAAATAAGTTAAAGTGGACATTTCTTGTTCTAACATAACCAAACTTCAAGAATCCCTTGCAAAAAATAAGGTAAAGTGGACATTCGCGCGCGCAAGACGAAATCCTTCCAAAACCTTAGTTTCGTAGCGATTTTAACATAAAAACATAAAAAAACCAATGGTTTTTCAAAAAAAAATTGTCAAAATTTCATCCCGCGCGCTCTTGCGGATTCGTAGGAAACCCAACACTTTTTAAACATTTCTGTCAAACGGGCTTTTGCGAGCAACTTTTTCGAACTTCTGCAACAACGGTTGCGCACCTGCCAGGGCCATCATCCCTGTCAAATAATACCATGCGGGACACATTCGTTTTTTCTTCGCGCGCGCACGCCGTCGTCGTCGGCCGCGGGGCCCTGAATAGTAGCCACGGTCGTCCGCATGCCACGAAGTGAAGTGTCCGAACGTCATAGGGCGGGAAGCTGGGTGTGGGTGGTGGCGAAGAGTCGTTTGGAAATTTGGTAGAGCTTGAACCGGCCCCCCCACAAAGTGGGGGTATTGCCCGCCTCCTATGAAAACCCTGGCACTGGTGAGAACGGAGTGTCCCCACGTGCTAGTAATTGTTGTTGTTGTTGCTGTTGTTGTTATTGTTGTTGTTGTTGTTGTTGTTGTTGTTGAGTTCTCATTTATGAAGAATAAATGTTGTTGATCCCCCCCCACTGGTGCATATTGTTTTCTCAATCAAAGTGTGCCCCTCGACGCTCGCACCCTGTGTTTTGACAGGGAAAGTCTTGATGCTCAAACTGGGCCCCTGGCCCCCGGGTTGCAACAACAACGGCTCCCGCCTGAGACTTTCTTACAATGCAGCCAGGGCCCCCGCTCCCGCCCGAGACTTCCTCGCATTTTATCCTGGGATCGCGCTCTCGCTTCGGACTTCCTTACAATTTATCCAGGAATCGCTCTCCCGGCGCTCTGGAGTCGCACTCTCGCTGGAGACTTGCTTGCAGCTTACTGAAGAATGGCCTTGCGTTGGAATTTCTTGCAATTTGCCCAAGAGCCGCGCTCCCGACACCCAGGCGCCCAGGAGTCGCGCCCGTTGTGGCCCCATGTGCATGCCCTTCGTGGCCCCGCTGTCGCCATTTGTGTCCCCTCACTGTCCTACGCGGCCCAGTTGCTACCCTCAGTGGCCCCATGGTTGCCTTCTGTGGCCCCGCATTAT